CCGCCCCGCCGGCCTGGGGGCTCCACCGACCCCGGCTCCGCACCCGGCCCGGCGCCCCACCCCGCGACCCCGGCGGGTCCGGCCGGTTTAGCGAGGCCGCCGCGAGGCCTGCAGGTAGGCCCAGGAGCCGGCCCGAGGAGCCTGCGGCGAGCCCGGCCCGGCCGTCACTCACCGGCGCCTCATGGTACCGCGGCGCCTCAGCCCAGCCACGGCGCTGACGAACCGCGCCCAGCAGCCCAGAGCGCCCGTCGGGTCCCGAGCCGGGCCCCACTCTCCAACCATTCAAACGCCGCCGCGCGCGCGGCCCGCCGGGATAGCTTCCCCGTAGGCGTCCGGAGGCCCCACCCCACTCCGGCCCCGCCCATCTCGGGTTGCCTGAGGGAGGGGGAGAGGGCGTGTGGCCACGGTGCCCCCTAGTGGCCGCCTACACTCACTGACTGCTTTAGCCTGGCAAGGAAGGAATGCTGAGCACGGAAGCGGTGTCTGGCCAGCTAGGGACAGTCTAGCGGGAAAACCCTGTCTCGGTTTACATCAGGAGTAGCAGAAAACCAGCTATTAAAATAAGATAAACATTCATTCCCATTTTAGTGCACCAGAGGGGTTGAAGAGATAGCTCAGCGGCACTTGTAGTTCTTGCAGAGGACCAAGATTCGGTTCCCAGCATCCACGAATTGGCCAACAACCATCCCTAATAGTTTCGGGTAATCCTACGCCCTCTTCCTCTTACATATATGTAGCAGACACTCATACACATTAAATAAATAAATGCACCAGGGCGTAGCGGCTAAAAGCCACTTTGGAACTTGTGTGACCTTGTGCAAGTTTCCTTTTGGTTTTCTCATCTGTAAAACGGGAATGATAATATATCTGCTTCTTAATTGTGGATGAGTTAATACTTGCAAAATGATTAGGATCTGGGTCATGGTAAGCACTACGTAATTCTTCACTATCTGTTATGTGACAGACTACTAGACCTCGGGAAGCAGGTTCAATTTCCTTGGTTGGAAACACTAAGTGTGAGATTAGGGTTCATTCTGTCCCTGATGTATTTTTAGTTAAGGAAGACAAGTCTCTTCATCTTACGGGAGCCAGAGTCTCCCCAGCTTCAGGGTAAGCCACTGGTCAAGGTTAGCAAAATCGAGACAATAAGTTTGTCTTCTGTGGTTTTTCTCTCCCTGTGGAGAAAGAAGCCAAGCAAGCAGGACAGTTGATGGAACTTTTCCTCACCACCAGACTCTATATCCCACGGCTTACTTTTTAGATGCTCCTTCCAAAATTCTTACGGTTTAAGGAAAAGGCTGCTTAAGTTAGATTCAGTGGCATGTTTGAGGAATGCTGTGATCCAGGCCGACATATCTCTAGATGCTGGAGATACTCAGAAGCAGCGCACAATGACTTGGGAAGTCAGAAAAAGAGATATTCCCAGCCGGGGGTTGGTGGTGCACGCCTTTAATCCCAGCACTTGGGAGGCAGAGGCAGGCGGCTCTTTGTGAGTTTGAGGCCACTCTGAGCTACATACAGAGCGAGTTCCAGCCCAGCTGGGGCTACAGGGAGACCCTGTCTCAAAAAGACCCCCCCCAAAATTCCTGATGCACTACACTGAGTAATTTCTAAATGCTGAGAACATTCAGAGCACTAATTGGAGCTAAGATGCCACTAAATGATTATAAGGTTATGTGTCTTTTGTAGTAATAGGGTCCTTATGTGATCAAAAAAATAGTAATGATGAAAATTTGAAGTGGCCACTTATGGCAATGGGAAACTATTTTTAGACTATTGTGTGAGCAGCGCCTTTTTTTTTTTTTTTTTTTTTTTTTTTTTTTTTTTTTTTTTAAAAAAAAAAAAAAAAAAAAAAAAAAAGCTGTCCTGGAACTCACTATGTAGACCAAGCTGACCTTGAACTCACAGAGACACGCCTGCCTCTGCCTCCCGAGTGCTAGCATTCAAGTCGTGTGCCACCATGCCCGGCTGAGCTGTGCCTTTTGAGAGTTTCTCAGAAGGTGCCAAGCACAAGCAGGAAGATCCCTGCATGTGTGGTCACACCTGTTAGCTCCAGCTAGGCGGGCAAATGAAAGGAAGTGGAGCAACAAAGACTAGATCGAGGGTATGACTTCCATTAAGTAGGTGGTGCTTTAAAATAAAATCTTAACACACACGAAGTCACTTTCTCTCATGGCGTTTCTTCATCACCATAAACATGAATTTCTTGATGGCTCACTATATAAAAGCATCACTGCTGGCCCTCACCAGAAGAGAATGAAGAGTGTAAGACACTGCTTACCTCTAGAGGTTGGAGGATGTAGTAAAACATAACAGGGGCCTGAGACTTGGAATCTGCTGTGCAGAAAAATCTCAGCTAAAAAGGCATCTCTGTGCCTAAAGGCCAGAAAAGAACCTCAACGTTCTCTTTTCTGGAGCTTGTTAAAATATAGAGGCTTGGCCGGGCGCAGGGGCACAGGTGTTTAATCTTAGCACTTGGGAGGCAGAGGCAGGCAGATCTCTGTGAGTTCAAGGCCAGCCTGGTCTACATAGTG